AAAATCGATTGTATTTCGTGCAAATATAAAACGCCCAAGCACTTCTCCTTTTGAAAGTCATTGACCAGAGATGTGTCAGTCGAGCCAGATGTCTCACCTCTGTTCTGTAGCGTAGCGGAGTTAACTCGATTTGCATAACAAGCCGGCTAACTACGGTCCTTGCATTCGGAATTCCTTTGCACAACCTTCACGATGATTCACGGAGTACACATGCTTCACACCCTAATTACGGATTCCAAACATGTGTCAGGAGTCCCTTCTTTCATCCATGCGCTGCTTGCCTTGTCATCAGTGCAGACGATGAGATAATCACCCTGTGGCAATCCCCAGAATCAACGTTCTGAGCAGGCAACTCGAGAATATCGTTTCCTGACAGCTTATCCTTACGCCCGGGACGAAAGTACATGATTTTTTTTATCTACGTAGGCTTCTACTCAATCGTAGAACGGAAAGCAAATGAGCTCTGACGCTGATGTCGGTGCCTTCATAGAGTTGCACTGCCAACAACTTGTGGGCTTGTCTTTCGCATCCATGAAATGTTCTCGGAGCTGATTATCAGAATCCAGCAATAAAATCTGAATTCCACGATAAACTATAACATATGGCAGTGGAGTTTGACGAATTTTGAGACCGCTCCAAGGTCTCTCATGGATTCATGAACAATCTCCATCTTTGAGCGAATACCGTGATTCGCATCTGTGTAAGTGGCTTTGTAGCCTGCGAGCTCAGCCCTCCTTGCGGTCGAAGAAAGTATCTTTAGCCTTTCTGGTGGATGTTGCATGCTAAATTTTCGTTTCTCAAATTGCCTACCAAATTAGTTAATTTCCTATCTTCGGTGTTGTGTTTTTACACCTACGGCAAACATTAACTATTGCCAACTCTGCTAAATTTCAGCTTGATTAAAGAGGTCACAATTTCCTCCGAATTGTTTGTAGATAGCCAAAAACGTTCGTACGCATCTGCCCTGGTGGCACAAGTTCGCACGGACACCCCCTGATTGGTCGATTTAAATCTGGGCAGTTCGACGTCAGCGTCGTCCAGTGGCAGGGAGGGCAGATCGTCTTACGTTAGCTGGTCTCCGCCTACTCAGGGAAATTTTGCTTTTCTCTCACGCTACTCGGCATTGCACCCAGGCGCGACTTGTAGAACAGGCAGCATGGCCGTGTTGGCGTAGCTGCTGACCATAGCTGCCTTTTCATCGCCTCCAGCTCGACTAGCTTGCGAATATCGATGCAATAAACTTCCAGAGGACCTGACTATGGGGACAAATTTGTCGTGAGATCATGGAGTGGCCTGCAAAGGCCCTTTACTCTTGAGGGGATCTGATTTTTAAAGCAGGCCTTTTCTGATTAACGAATGGATAGGAATAAAAAAGTTCCATAACGATTTCAAGTCTGAAGGTGAAATTTCGAGTTCCACGTGCATGCATAAATGAAGAAGAAGAAGAGGGGTCGAGCAACAGAACATTCTGTCTATTGTCCTAAGCCTTCGGACTCGTGCAGGAGTCCATCGTCAGAGATGGTAACAGCAAGAGAACAAGCGACATGTAGGCCAGTCATCGACCGATGACGCGAGACTGGAAATGGCTGCGCAGGGCTCTGTACGCCGGCGCCAGGTAGATAAATCGATCGGCCGAGGTCTCATCCGAGGCCCAGGCTTCAACCAATTCTCGGCCTGTTTTGTTTCCAGCGTGGGCGACTATTTTGGTGACTGCGAAGTTTAACTCGTGACCCATTTCGTAGGTGTGAGTGGCCACTTGTGATAATGCACCGCCTCGTCGCACAGCCAGCTCATGTTCGTGGATGTGCGATCCGAGCATGCGCCCAGTCTGGCCTGTGTAGTTATAAGAACAGTTTTGACAGGGGATGCGATACACTACTCCAGATTGCTCTTCAGACGTTAACCGGTCTTTAATTTTCATGACCCTATTGCGCATGGTGGCTTTTGGACAATGTGCAATTCCAAAACCTAGCTCCGCAGCAATGCGCTCGGTCGCTTCTTAAACACCCTTGATGTATGGCAGAAAATGCCATATCGTCGGTGGCGTTGATGTTTGAGTCACCTGGGGGCGATCGCGAAGACAACGATTTATGAATGCCCTCGGATAGCCGTTTCGTACAAACTGGTCGCGGAGATAACGGGCCTCACGTGTTCTGTCCGCCGGTTTGCTGCATTGAGTTTATATCCGTTTGAAGAGCGTCTTCACAAAGCTTCGCTTGCCACCGGATGGTTGCTGTGAAAACTGAGAAACTGTGTGGTGTTCGTTGCCTTTCTATAAACTGTCGTTTCAAGTTCACCGTTAAGGTTTCGTCCGACAAGCACATCCAAGAATGGCAACTGCTGTTCCTGTTCTTCTTCCCTCGTGAATTTTATATCAGGGAAGATTACATTGAACAAGTCGAGGAAATTTTGCAGCATGTCCTCCTATACGATGACAAACGTGTCGTCTACGTAACGGCGCCAAAATACCCGCTTGTGTTGGATTAAGGCAAGATTTTCTAACTCCTATAGGACCAGTTCTGCCACTAAACCGGAGACCGGTGAGCCCGATGGAGTTCCCTTTATTTGCTCATAGGTCTCTCCCGCAAAAGTGAAGAAAGTTCGTTGGCAGAATTCAAACAACTTCATGGAGTGTTCAATTTTGAGTGCATCCTGAGTCTCGTCGTACGCCTGTTCAAGATTTGAAAGATTTAATGCATATAAAGTGGTGCTTCTGATGGAACACGTGGAGAATTTGAGTGAGATCAGAAGGGCATGCGTTTTTGATACTAGATAATCAAAAATGCACGCAACAACTCAGACAGTCAAAGTAGGTGGAGAGCATATATAACTTGCGGCCGGCTGATTGTCAGGCAGGATGCAGACTATATTAGCTGTTAGTTTAACTTCGGACATCAGCCAACTGGTGATTTGATCTTCGTCCTTGCAGCAATCAGATTAATTAGAACCCCTTTCTTGAGCCCCCATATAAGTGCAGCAAATCCATCCACCGAATCCGGACAGTAACCTGTAAAATAGGGCTAAAATACTGTAGACAAAACCAAAACTTTAGTGATGATCTGTGACGTTAGCTCCCAATGGGGTCCTCTATGGCGAACTCTTACACACTTCTCCTCGCTCTGTTCAGAGTACTTTAAGATTTCTGGACAGCTGATTGTATTTCAGGATGCCTTCCGACTCTTATTTTAAATTAGATACCTTCTTTCCATCCACGAATGCGGCGATCACTTCTTCGGTGTTAGTTATTTTGGCCGTATTGGACGTTTTCATGATCAGCCACCGGGACCGTTTGTTATTTTTGCTTGTAATTACAGAGGTCAGACTGAGCGCATGTTCGAATCGTGAACATGAGCTGGCTGTGGAGCAGGATGAATAATTAACACTAATTACTGTCAGCACCTTCGAAACAGGTCACGAGTTCAACTTCGCAGCCGCCAGGATAACTGCTCATGCCGAAAACAAGACAAGCCGGGAGTTGATTTAAGCCTGGTCCCTCGATGAGAATTCATTTAATCGATGTATGGATTTAGCGCTTGAATACAGAGCCCTGAGCAATCTCATGCAGGCCTGCGGCATTAGCTGTTGATTGGCTAATCCCCCCCCCGTATAACCGCCACCTGCTCTGTTGCTGTTTGTCCTGACGATGGACGCCTGCACGAATTCGAAAGCGTTGAAAAATAAACAAACAGTTCCGTTGCCTTGGAAATCCCCTTTTTCCTGAAATTTGCTCCTTATCGAGCTAGTTCCTTGGGCGGCGTTTCGCACTTTCAGCTCGAAATCAAACTATGCAAACACAAGAAAACCCACCTCTGGTCGTCCACTAAAAGCGAATGTTATTGAAAGTAAATCTTTTCATGATTATTTCATTCTCAGGTCAACTTTGGTGCCATTTCAGTCGTTAAGGCTTACATGTGGTAAAGGGATATGTCTTGCTCAGGTTTCGGTGAAGGATTCACTAACACGCAAAGTAGTAGGGGATTCCAAATTTCAAATTTTATCCTTTGTGTGTTCTGCCTCTAAAAAACTACTAGACTCATTTTGCACAACCCCTTCCAAGTGCCCAAATCTTAATTTTAGACCTCGGCCACATAACAGAGCCCTTTTCTTAATCTTCACTCGTGTTTTTAACAGGCATCTAGCCCTAACATTCGGTATAAACATATCCCCGAAGTTATCAGGATGCTTATTTCATTGCAAGTGCAAGGACTAGGTAAAACCCTGCATCACTAATTAATCCTACGTTTTGTTCAGAAAAAAGACATAGCCCCACTAGTAACCTTTGACTCCGATCTCAATTCGGAGCGAAGCAAGCAAAAACAAACCAAAATACTGGAGTTGAAAAAGGTTATTTTTACAAAAACCATCTTAATAACCCTGAATCTTAAGCCAATGGAAATATAAAGGAATCTAGTCAGTTTAACAAATCCGAACGCCAGCGGGTGGATAAGCTCGGGCGGTGCACTGGTGCATGGGAGAGGAGGAGACGAGTGAGGTCGACACTGGGTAATCTATCCCCTGGCACATCAGCCCACTTCACATTAATAATAACTCTAATGAGCTTAAATCTACCATGGCACGCAAAAAGGTGTGGCTCGAAACGGTGTCAGCTAAAAGAGCCAGTAAGTAATCTGAGAGCCGAGCTCAACGGTTCCTTCTGGAAGCAGACTCCATGGCGATCCCACTTGGGTGAGATCCAAGGCGCCCTCTTGAGACCCCGGCCCATCGTGTGTAGACCACGCGAGTTTGCCACGAGCAGAGGGCGGTATAGCCTTGTATGTCTCAGCCCACATCCAGCCGTCCCGACTCTGCCTTGCAGCCGGTTCCGGGGGAGTGAGGGAAGAGAGAGTGCGATAGATGCTGCGCAGTTCTGGTATCCCTTTGGCAGTTCGACCTTCCTTTCCGACGACGTCTAAGTTGTGCTCCACAAGAGGGGTGGGCTCAGAGCTGGTGAACTGTGCGTGAATTAGTTCATGGTGACAGCAGACTTGCGCTGCATCCACCACACTCCCTCCTTCTCCCGACTATCACTGTAAACTAATTCATTCACAAGTCCCCGTCCGTCGTCGACCGTTATGCGGGGCACGCGGTGGACAGCATCGTTCGCGACGGTCGAACTATCGCAAAAATGGATGGGTTTATCCGTGGTTTGACAAGTCATGCCACGCTTTTATCTCTTCACCCACAACGGCAGTTCTAATCACTTTGTGCCGTTGGAGACCACGGGCGTGTCACTGTACATTTCTCTCCGGCGTGTCCCCTAAACGAGCCACGTGGTATATGCGCTGGACCAATACGGGGGCCATATCGCATTCTGGCAGGAGTTATCGGAGTTGCACACCACAACAAATGCCAAAATGTCGGGGTGCGGTGGTAGGCCCGCTTGGGGGCAAGCGTTGCGCACACTGGGATCCCTGCCGCCTGTCCCCCTTCCCATTATTGTCGATTGGTCAAAACCTAATCATTTGCTGTTTGGACCAGGGGGTGTGGAATGGAACACCCTGATGCGGGCTCGGCCGTGCCATCCACCTGCGCCCTCCCCCACCTCCGGTCTTATGGACTCTGTCTTGACACCAGGTCCAGGTGGGGGAGGAGAGAGTGTGGTATTTGCTGTGAAAGTCAACTCGCACAAACCAATTCACGCACAATCGCCGTGCCTACTTCACCTTGCTTTGGAGCATACGGTGGACATTGTCGAATCGACGGCCGAACTGTCGTCTGCCTGGCCATCTCTGCCGGACCCGACTACAAATAACCAGTTAAAACTCCACGCAAGCCATTTATGACAACTGTGCCGTCAACGTTGATCCGTAGATAAGTGCTAACCCTAGCGATTTGCGCTTGACATGACTTTTCTGTGAATATGGTTTTTTGTCTAGGGCAGACGTTTGGTTCTTCTTTAAAAGCGTCACACCACTCATGCAGCGATCACGCGATGCAGTCCACCAGAGTCGTCGTGACGGGTAACACGTGGCATTTGCGAAGGTACACATCTTACTTATCCTATAGTCGTGATGTCTGACAGAGTCTGGTCATGTGGATTAGATGACAGACACGCGCGGGCGTGCCATATGACACTTCGATACTTGTTTCCGAGTATGTCCACCGTATGCTTCACACCATGGTGGGAGCAGGGATGGTAACTTTTGAGCGTGAATTTGTTTGTAGTGATAATGGACTTGCTCAGCATCTACCTCACTCCCTCTTTCTCCCACCTGGGAGTTGTTCTATGACAGAATGGAGAAAACCGGAGGCAGGGGGTGCAGGTGGCTGGCACAGCGAAAAACCGCACCTAGGCGTACCACAACACCTCCCCCCCCCCGTCCATCGCGTACAACTGACCAGAGTTTTACAAAACTAGAGAAAAAGGGAGGGGGACTCGGAAACTTACTGGGTGAGAATGCCATACAGGCCATAGCAGCCTGACTCTCCATCCATCTTCCAAGCCACGGCTTTTAGCGCACTGTGATAGATTCAAGCGTTCCAGGTTGTTTATAGTGAGGAATTATGTGCTGTGAGTCGACCCCACTCGCACCAGTCAACGGTCTGAGCCGGTCAACCGATTGGTATTGAGATAAGTAGAAGTGGCAGCGTTTGGTGATCCGTCCGCTGAATGCTCGCCGACAACGCGGCCATGGTGGGAAAAATGGGACGCTGGCGTCCGGGAGTCGGGCACGCTCGAGATTTTCGAGCTGCTCTTTTGGCTTTGGCAGTAACAATACGGTTGGCTTCATGGTAGCCTCCCCAGTCTTCACTGCTCTATTTCGGGCCGGTCGATCCTTTTCTGGGTTTTCCAGGTCTTCGTATTAATTTGTAATCGTTTCGAGGGACTCCTCAAGGTGTCCTTCTAGAGGCGTGTTTGACCACCTTGTCGGCGAGTTGACGTAGAGGCGTCTCAGCAGCAGAATCGTTTGGGTATTCGCTCATCGTTCATCCTCATGATATGATCTATTCGTCGCAATTGTCGATGATTCAGGATAGTGTTAATGCCGCGGATTCCCGTCGATTCCAAAATTTACATGCCCGAGATCCTGCCATAAGATTATTCAAAAACAACCGGGACCGGAATGATTTGTTTCCGAGATCGTTTCTTGTAAACTGTCCAGATCTCTGCTACGTACAGCAGTTGAAGACGCCCCGACTCCGCTGTATGTCTGTTTCTGACTCGGTGTTCAACTTGCAATCGTACGTGAAGTACATATCGTGGATAGTAGTCATGGAGAGAGGCGAAGAGACGAGTCGCAGGAAGCAGTCTTGAGGAAGGAGACACGGTCGCTGGGACAAGAGCTTTATTAGCCTGACGTTTCGGATTCCTGCTCGAACCCATCATCAGAAGCAAAAGCAAATGCGGATGCTTCATGCCCAAGGGGACGAGGCCGAAATTCTCGCAAGAGGTGACAGCCGCGTGAGCCGGGAGCTACTTGAATCATGGTTTACTGGCCCCAGTCCCTTAACAAGTGCAGTGACCTTCCCCTTCCATACTCAGTGCTGAGACTTCTCCTAGGCGGAGTAATTAGCCATGCGGGAAGCGCACAGGTGAACACTGTTCCCAACGCCAGTGTCGGTGCGTCAGATGGTCGAGCAATCATCACACCAACATCCAACACGCGTGATGGAATCGGAGCAATTAAGGACGCGAAAGTCGGCCGTCAAACAGTCAGCACATCAAGTGCAACGATCCCTGATTAACGGGGAACCGTGAACATTCATAGGTATGCGGTAGCATGGCGACTGCATCCTATAAATACTGAAGCCCCTTGTGCATGAACCACCCGTATCTGCTGTTGTCTCTGATGATGGGTTCGAGCAGGAATCCGAAACGTCAGGCTAATAAAGCTCTTGTCCCAGCGATCGTGTCTCCTTATTCAATGGAGAGGGCCGTTGGTGTCAGCATGCACTGAAGTTTGGGAAGATGACCCTGGAAGATGGTCCTGCAGGAGATGCGAATCCCGGGGCACTCATCAGGGTAGACATGCATCATCATGGCGGAGAACATGAGGCTGAAGTGGGTGTGGGAGGGCATGCAGTCCTGCTTTACTCCTTTGGTCACCGCGAATGCTTCTCAGACGGACCCTTCGTCCGTGACGCGCACCATAATCCCCTTGTGAAGCTGACACACTATGCGCGTGAGTCGCTCAGGACATTCGAATTCCGGCATGATTTTCCAAGGTCCATCGCGACTCATCGCGTCGAAGGCTTTCGTCAAATTCCCGGTGGTTGTGCAGAGGTGGGTCCACATTTCCCGATATTTTTCTTGCAGCTGGCGGGCGGAAAAGGTCGTGTCAGTAATCGCAACAGTGTTGTCTTTCCCCCCGGCCGTTTGTAGAGATGAATGATTGTTGTGTCCTTGAGACCCTGAGGAATTTGTCCTTAATGTCACATATCCGGAAAAATCGTCGTAAATTTGTCAATCAGCCGGGATAACCTTGCGTGAGTACATCGGTTAGGATCACTTCAGATTCCGGTGCTTTCTCGCCGGAGAGTTGTTGCACAGCGGGGATTGTTTCTGAAAGGGAGGGCGCGAGACCCAGGTCGATCTTGACTTTCACTTGGGGAAGCCGGTCGATGGCGGCGTCGCAGATCGCGCATGGACGATTGAGGATACGCTTGAAGAGCTCGGTCCGGCGCTTAAGAGTCCACGATTTCGCCGTCAGGATTGTTGTTCCGTCGGGACTGAGCGACGAAGTTATGGCTATGGGGCCGTAGGCCGTCCTGATTGATGTAAATAATTTCTTTGTCTTGTTGAGGTCAACATACCCCTGCATTTCCTCGGCCTTCTGAGCCATCCAATCGTTCTGCATCTCCCGTGGCCGTTGCCGCATCAGGCGGCGCCACATGAAGAATGCCGCTTTGCCTGTGGCGGTGCGGCCGTCGGTCTGGGCCTTGTGCAGCTTGTTCTTTTCGGCGAGTAGGTTGCCAGTACATGCGCTATCAAGCATGGTATGTTGTGCAACCTATGTACATTCTACTGGCTGAATGACACTACCGACAAAGGCAAGGGAGACTGGAATGGCCATTTCTGGCTTATTAGCCGTCGTCAGCCAGCCATACCCAACCCCGAAGTATGGAACACCCGAGGCTCGAACTCGCGACCTGTTGGTTAGAAGTCCATGCCTCATGCGCCGCTGTGTGGCTGATGGTTGGGCTCGAGAGAGAGCCCATAAGGTACAACGGAACGAGTGAGTTCCCTGAGAACGATCGGTGAGCGTCCCCTACCATTCTACTGGCTGCCTGATGGCGGGCTATGAATAGTACCCAGTTATTCCGCTGTGGCTGATGGACTTCGGCCCACATATCGAATTCCAGTCTGAGTCCATAAGTCTCAAATAGACTGATTTACTCCAACTTAACGACTAATTTCTGAGAAAATAAGAAAGCTGTGATGTCTGCGCCGTTGTCGTCGAATGACTAGCGCGTCCGAGGAAATCCAGGGCGATGAATTAGACAGCATCCCACATTTGGCGCCAGAATATCTCCACGAAGGAGTTTTCATCTGGAGCCTGAAGGTCTTCCAGTCGCTGGGGCAGTTGAATGCTGAAATCGAAGTGGTGAGCAGACAAGTCCAACAGGACATTGCTAATTTTACCTACTGTTCGCTTACAGTGATTGATCGATCTCATGAAATATTAGCCGAAATTCCGAAATACGTTTCCGATTAGGAAGGATTACGTATGCGTGGTTGTAATACTGATTATCTTGCGGCACAATCCTATATAATATCAGACTGGGCAGGATGTCTGCTTTTGAATACACTGCTTTTCGATCTCCTGTGGAAACCGTACTCGGTGAAAAATGGCTATTTAAGTAGCATTCATCTTTCACATTGATTTTCGATGGTTTTATGAATTCAAGTATGTTATAAAAAACCCGAACGAAAATGTGTTTTCTTTCACTCGTTTGATAGGGAATTGCGCCGTCTTCATATTTTATACTTGAAGAATGAGCATAATTAGGTTTTAAAAACGTTTCTAGTTATGAGATTTTTTAAGACCGTGCAATGTCCATTCATACAGCATCGTGCCTCTCCCTTTACCACTACTCCTCATCAAATGTACAACATAGTTTTCATCTATTGTAAGATTTTATGGACTCTGGAGATGACAAGGCGGTGTCCGGTTCAGCCGTCAGCGTTGCAGATGGCCTTAGTCATCAGCACGTCCTGTCGGCCTTGCCGCCGAATGACAACTTTCAGCGTTTTAATTGGGGGCAAATTGACTTCGCCCGTGTTGGAGGGCGGAAAAATGTCGTTGGTCAGGAGGAGACTGTGTTCTGTGCAAGTTTTCAAGAGAAGGAGCCATCGATCCAATGGAAACCCAGCGCTCCTTCCCAGGCAGCGCGTTTTGTCCTGTTAGGGGCGTTGAAGTCGCTAGAGACAATAAGCTTTTCCACCGTCGGCACAGTCGCCAGGCGAGCGTGCAAGTTGTCGTAGAACTTGGTCTTTGCCCCATTGGATGGAGTTGGTCATTGTGAGGGCGTGGACACTGATATTGGTGGCGAATTTGGATCCATGAAGATGCAGGTGTAGGATCATCAGTCGGTCCTTTATGCCCTGTGGCAGGCAAGGCAGTCGTACCACAATGTCTTTCCGGACTGCAAGGACGACGTCAGCGTGGCGTCGCTCCATCCCAGAAGAAGGTGTAGCCAGGACCCACCTTATTCGGTTGGTTCTTCTCGAAGAAGCAGGTCCGCTGAGAGCGACGATGTCAATCCTGTAGCGCCTCAGTTCTCGAACGACTGGCGCCGCCCTCTGCTCTGGTCGGTTACTCCTTGAATTGCCCGAAAGGGAACGAATGTTTCAGGTTGCCACAGTGAGCAAAATCATGCTAGCCGTCCGTGGGGTTAAGTGGAGGAGAGGTGGATAAATGTTGCTGTCGTTCATCGTTCGATTTTGACCGCAAATTTTGGCATTTACCAGCCACAGTACACCTACAGATAGCATGAGTTCCCAGCAGTTGTCTAGGGCACCTTTTCTAGCCCCTTCTCCGTGAGCTGTTAAGCATTGATGTCTCTAAATAGGGCTGCGTAGAGATCTCAGACGGCCGCCGAACTCCACTATGCCTCATGGCTTTGTTTAAGGAAGAGCGACTGGAATTAACTTAAGCCGCCTACGGGATTACATATCGCCTTCTTCTAATAGCTTTTGAAGTAGAGTTAAGGCGGAGGGATGGGAAGGGGTTTAGAAATACTGGGTGTAGGGATAAACACAACACCGGATACCCTCATTTGGTTTACTCTGCCGATCGGGACAGTTATTGGGTTGTGAGCACCTGACAGAGCCTACCTTCGGGAAGTCACAGATGAAAAATGGGTGCCACTTAAGGGGGCCTAAGAAGTATTTGCCACTTCGAAATTGTCCAAATCAAAAGTCAAACAGGGCAGATCTTGGAGAAACTTTGCTAGGAGGACAATTTCTGGTCCATTTGTCGTCGTCATCATCAGGTAGTCGTGCCCAATCCAACTTCGGACAAGCTGAGAAGGCCTGTCGAAACCAACAGGACAACACGCCTGTGGCTCACTGGTAGAGCCTTGGACTTCAAAAACACTTAGTGCACGAAGATTTCCGGCCTTAATTCCGGATTATAAAAACTTTGAGCTGGGCATAACTGACTGGTGACGGTTCCCCTTGTCTTTGTCGATACTCATTTCTGCATCGTTATTGGTCGTTGTGCGAGAGCCTTGGATTGAGCCCGCAGTCCTCTTGGTGAACTTACAGCGTCTAAGCGATGCGAGTGTACTTAGAGTGCCATAATCACCCGAACAAATCCCGAGTTGTACGAAAAGACTGAAGTCACCAAAATGAGGGATTAATTTTATCACAGGAACTCGAGTTGTCCTCTCAGGCGGCAGTGGCCGCTGGCAAAGCCAGGGCTGGTGTTGACTGCGTCCAGCTATGCCTGAGAGTTCGTAAGACGGTGGTGACGGCTTCTTATGTAGGTTTGTGGAGCAATCTGATGGGGTGTCCAGTTGGCATGTGTTAAACTTGCTGAGAGATGGTGTCCAAGTGGCTTATGCCACTGGTTGCAGGGGGGGTGGTGCGTTCTAGTTTAAGTCGGTCGACTGGCTGAAGGTCAGCGCGTCCGGGACCCCTCGCTGAGAAGGCGAGTGACATTGACGCAACCGGGCCTTGAACAAGGGCGCCAGACGTGGGTGTCGGCAAAATACTTCCTTTCGATGATGATTAGTCCATTATGCACACTTTTCACACACCCAAACCAATCCCCTTACGTAACCTTGTAGCGGGCAGCCATCATAACCGATCTGGCGTCATTGTTTAAGACCTCGCTGTCTCAAGGTCATTCGCCCTCTTGCAGCGAGCCGTTCCAGCCACGCTGACCTGAAGCCACTCGACCGACTTCAGCCCGGACACAATTGCGTCCACACTGCATCGCGGCTACCCATGCGCCACTTGAACGCGCCACCCTTTGCAACCAGCAAACCAGGCCACTGGGACACCACCCCTCGGCAAATGCAACACACGCTGACTGGACACCATTTGAGCTTGGCCCACGAGCCTACAAAAGCGGCTGCCACCACTGTCCCAGAGACTCTCAGGCATGACTGGACGCAGTCAACATCAGTCCTGGCTTCACCACGGTGGAAACTGACGCCTGAGAGGACAACGCCGGTTTCTGTGCTCACTAAACCCCTCATTCTGGTGACCTCCGTCTTCTCTTTCCAACATTGGATTTGCCCTGATTATGTTAGCGCTAAGACTACACAAATTCTCATGGATGTACCGCAAAAACCGTGTGCATCCTATATGGATTTACCCTACTTCTGAGGACCTTACCCGACCGACATTCTGTATAAAATATCGATTAATAGTTCCTTGGAGCAAAAAGTTAACAACCGCCTGCTTTTGCTACCTGTCATAATTTATTGCTGGCCTCGACGCTTTGCATGCCAAAGGCTTTGCAAACTTTTAGTAATCCACATCTGCCATCGTGAACAGTCACCAGTCGAACCACTTTAAACAGGGTTTATCTGGCATACCGAGTGGCGGCTTTCCGCAGTTGTTTTGCTGGCTGGTTGCCAAGCCAGACTGGTCGTGACCATTTTAATTACATGTGAGACGTGTTCGTGACTGTGCATGAGTGCGCGTGTGCAAATCGGAGGTATGCGGAGTGCTGTGGTAAGGCAGTCACCCTCACAAATGACAGTCGCCTCACATATAGTGACCCTACTCCGAGGGCCTCTATCAACGCTGGGCCCCTCGTAAGTGTCTGAACGTGCGCATCTGGGCTGTTTGGCATTCGCTCGCTCGGCCTTCCAACCGACCAATCAGATTCAAGGCCAAGCCGCTTCTTCTCTTTCCACTCGGGACCGGGCCTGAAGGTCGAGGTAGCCAGGGTCTAACTCACGGCATAGGCTGCTGCGATACACCCTCCAAACTTCATGTGGTTAATCATTTCTCACTGTCTCCGACCTTACTCGCAAATTACATTCGGGGTTGCATTAAAGTGTTACCTAGGCGGTGACTGTAGCCAGCGGTTGCGTTGACGGAGGGGGGAGACAAATTAGATGCTTGTAGACGGGTCATCTCTCTCCAACCCTGACGGCGCTGTGGGCGAAGTACCGGTTGTTTGTGGCAGGTACACTGTTTAATCAACCAGTGTCCAAGATCAGGTTAGGTAGACTTGAACGTGTCTTGCATAGTGCTTGGGCAGCATTTGCATCTCTTTGAAGTATGCGTTACCAGATCAGAAGCAACAAAGAAAACAGGTGGCTGGACGGCCTGCGTAAATTTGCAGCGCATAAGTGGCTGGCTACAAGCGTCGGCAGGAGCGAGGAATGGGTGTAGGTGAAAAGGGCTTGGAGGACCAGCTGGCAACTAGCCAATCATCGAGCCCACGAGAGGTGAGTCAATACTGGTGCCAAAAGTAAGAGTAACGGGCAGATGCAGTTGTCGATCCGTGAGAACAGGAGGACTAGCGTTGCA